GTACAGAAATGTAATAAGTGTAAAATAACACTGCATAGTGTTCACTATGAATTAAACTTAGATGAATCTTTGTTAAAGCTGTGTTTTGTTGTTTGATTAACATTAGTGACATATTGGAAAACATACCTTGGACGTTTTGCCATAAACGGCACACACGTTCTTACGTAGTTACTAATTACAAACATACATTTTTAAAAATAAATATAACTGCATCAGAATTTGCATTGTAGTTTTTTTTTTTTTACTGAGCAGAGTGTGAAGAGTAGCAGTTTTGAACATGTTGATGTGTCTCAGCGTAGATCAGATGAAGTGTTTGTCCTCCACACAGGACTGAAGTGGGAGGCCATTGAGACGTGTGTGAACTGGATGGCTCCTTTCGTGGAGACCTTGATGTGTTATAAGAGCGCACAGCTGAAGGAATTTGGCCAAGTGCCGTCTGAGGACAGACACAACATTCAGACACACGGGGACTACCTCTGCATGCTGGTGGGTCTAGTGCTTAACTAATATGTGACCCTGGACCACAAAACCAGTCATAAGGGTCGATTTTGTGAAATTGAGATTTATACATCAATGGAAAGCTTATTTATTCAGCTTTCAGGTTAGGATAGGACAATATTTGGCCGAGAATACAACTATTTGAAAATCTGGAATCTGAGGGTGCAAAAAAAATCGAAATACTGAGAAAATCGCCTTTGAATTTGTCCAAATGAAGTCCTTAGCAATGCATATTATTAATCAAAAATTAAGTTTTGATATATTTACGGTAGGAAATGTACAAAATATCTTCATGGAACATGATCTTTACTTAATGTCCTAATGATTTTTGGCATAAAAGAAAAATCGATAATTTTGACCCATACAATGTTTTTTTGGCTATTGCTACAAATATACCCCAGCGACTGCTTTTGTGCTCCAGGGTCACATATTAATCATAGACATCAATGCAGTCAATGGATGTTGAAGTTCAGAGGTGGTATGAGAGGAACAGAATCATCAGCATGTTGTGCTCGTTTGGTTCTGCAGTGGCATTGTTTCAGCCAGGTGCATTTAACCGTTCTCAAGTCTTTGTCGTTCTCATTTACAGAAAGAGGCTCAGGAGAAACAGTCAGAAAGCCTGGAGCACTTCTTCCCACCAACACCTCCCAGCAGCGCTGAGAAACCCAGCTAACACTAGTGTTCACACAGCAGGATCAGTGTACTGTGATTTTTACCGTCACTAGTTCTAGACTTCATCTCAAAGTTCAGGTCATAAGTTGTAAAACTGTAATATGTACTATGCACAGGGCTTGACTGGTATTTAAGTTAACAAAATAGGCTTTAAGAAACTGCGCTGTTTTGTGTTCTGAACAGACAACTTATGTTCCCTAGTGTTGGGTTATGGTTCTCTTATACTTTATAGTACAAAAATATTTGTAGAAAAAATAAGAGCAGGCCTCAGGATTGCTAGTGTGGTTTTTTTTTTATTTTTATTTAATTTTATTTTTCGGGTTCAAATGATGACTTAAAATGTGATTAATGAAAATATCAAATTTCCTGTCGGCACAATGTTCTTTATTATACATCATAATTTAAGTATACTGTTCATTTGTATATAGATTGCAAGATGTTTAAATAAATATATATATATATATATATATATATATATATATATATATATACTAATATCA